GCCTAATCACTAACCTCACATATTAAATCACATATATTAAATCAAATGGTGAATTCAAGTCAAGGGTTGACATTGTGAGGTTGTAGTTTTAGTGTCTTTAGTGCTTTGAAATCTATCATACATTGTTCATCAAAAAATGAATTTCCTATTTTCCTTCAACCAGTTGCATAATGGTTTTACAATCCTTAAAAAGTCCTTGATAAACCTTCTAAACCTTCTATAGAACCCAGCATGGCTTAAGAGCCTTCTTATTCATATAGTTACTCAATCCAATTTTATTCATCTTTTCGATATCTTGTGGCATAGTATTGTCTCTTCATTGACAATGTCAATGACATTTTTTCCTATCTAGTACAAGATTTTTCTCCTCTCCTTTGTACAACCATCCCCAAATTACACTAAAATGGCAATTATACATAGTTGGAATGTTGCTAGAGTGTTACATATCATAAAGGACATCATTTTAAAGACAAAAATTTCATTCAAACATGTAAATGTGGTATTCTCATAGCCTTCTAGATGGTTATAATATGGTTGTATCTATAATGTAAGTTTCTAGCAAGTCTATCAAACATTTATTTAATGAATGGTAAGAGAAAATGGTCCTAGCACATTGCCTTGTTCAATCTACAATCAATACACACTCTCCATACATTCATTACTCTAGTGGGATCAATTCATTGTTCTCATTTGCTAATATTGTCCTTCATTTTTTCTTTGAAACACATTGAATAGGACTAAACATACTTTTGTTTGCAGTTGGATAGATTATTCGAGCATCTAGCCACTTAATAATATATTTTCTCACAACCTCCTTCATCATTGAATTTAATCTTCTTTGTTGATAAATGAATTTAAATTGTCATTCCTCCAGTCGAACCTTGTGCATACTAGTGACAGACGAATCCCTTTTATGTCCGCCAATGTCGACCCAATTGCCCTCTTGTGCTTCATTAATATTTCTAGAAGTATGATCTCTTGAACTAATGACAGTGTTGCTGAGATGATGATTGACAATATCTTCTCGTCATCTAGATGTGAATATTTAGGCTAGGGGCAATAGTTTCAAGTCTAGCTACAATGCTTCCTCAATAGATTACTTCATTGGTGAACTTTTTCTTCCCTCTAATTCTAGAGATTCAAAAGTTCTACTGACTTCATCTAAAATTGCTAGACGTTCGATGGAATTACTCCAGCTACTGTCTTCTTCTTGCATATATTCCCGATTATCTCATTCCTCTACCTCTGTTGAATATTTCAAGTTGTTATTAATATCAAACTCCACTTACTAGTCACCAATTCTTAAAGTGATGGTTCCCTTGTGGACATCTACTAGTGTTCTCCAAATCTTTAAAAATGGTCTCCCCAACTTTGATTGCACATCACGGTATGCTTTATAATAAAAAATGATAAAATATTATAGAAATATGAACTTATCCACTTGAATTAATGTCTTCAATTTTTTTTCTTTTGGATAAGTTATTGACCTCTCAGCTAGTTGGATGGTGACTATACTTGGTATAGCCTCACCAATCCATAACTTGTTAGAAATGGATAGGGGAATTAAGTTGATGGTTGTCCCTCTACCTAGCTCTTTTAATCGAATTGATATTGAAATTGTGAACGAGCCTAAGTCTTTTTCCTTTAGCGGGATCTTATTTTAGAGAATTACCCTACCCTTCTCATTTGGTGGAACTTCCTTCAATTTGTCTTTTGTATATCAGTTATTTTTATTATTATTTTCTTTTTTTTTTTTTGTAACTGTTGCTGCTTTCTTAAATTTCACCTCTTCTATTTTGGTATTTTCTTTCCAATTCTCAATTCTACGCTAAACAATATTTCTTGTATTTCTTTTTAGTGTTTCCGTATCTGCTGGCAGCTTTCCAACAGCTCTATTACATAGTTTAGTTGCTAATCGGCCATTTTGAGCTTCCAGATTTTAAGGATGCTCATAGCATCATTATTTGCCATATATTTCTGCATTAGCTTCTCAATTAATGTCTCTGTATGTGTTGAGCTAGTTTCTTTCCTTTCAGTATTCACTTGTTGAGGAATGGATGACATTTGATTTTGTTGTCCAAAACTTAAGGTAATTTTTCTTCGGTGGAATTTGTTGATTGCATGAGCTTTGTCTCTTCCATGAGAAGTTTTGATGGTTTCTCCACTATGGGTTGTAAGTGTTTGAGAAGGAATTATTATTCTGATTTCCTTGACTCTTTTGATTTCGCACATAAAACACTGAAGTTGGATTACATGAACATTGATCAAAAGTGTGTTTGCCTCCCCAATATACACCAAATTTAACTGCAGGATGAGTCATTACAATTGAACTAAACTGGTGCTTTAGTCATTGAACCTTGTCTCAATGTCATAGTATGTAGAATATTAGTGACGGAAGCTAATTGAGCATTTATAGAGATCAAAACATTAACATCAAGTCATGTTTAATAGCCATCTTCAATAGTCAGTTGTAGAAAGTCTACGTTTGGATACAATGGGCAGTCCATAGTGAGGATATTTTCTAAGAATCTTGTTGAATTTCTCCCCAACTTTAGCTTCAAACTATTAATAACAAACAATTTTATTTCTAAACTGTGCATTTCTAATTGGTGGGAAGTAATTGATAAAAAATAATTTGTGCTAGACTATTTCAAGAATCAATTTCTCATGATGCTAAGGTGTTTAAAGATTATTTAGAAGCAACCCTAGGAGAATAACGGAGTAAACTCATTTTAATTACATATTTATCCACTCTTTTGAATCATAATGCGTTCCTCACTTACAAAAATAACTTTAGATGTTCAAATATGTTCAACCTTTTTCTCCCATAAACTTCACAATAAATTTTTCTCTATTTCGATATCAAAAATAAATTTCAAAATCATAGGTAGGTTCATATACCAAATTTTGTAGCTGCCACTATAAACCTAGCAAATAATACTAAATTAGGTTCCTTAAAAATGGCACCAACGGTCTTGTGAAGGTATATAGTAAAATGGTATAAAATTCATAAGAATAAGTGCAAGTATACAGTATAAGAAAAAATTATTTCTAACTCTTCCATTACCTTTGAACGGGTAATATCCTTGTAATGAAAGTATTAATAAAGTTTTCCCGGCTCTCTCTTCTTTTACATAAGAGAAACAACTATGTATAAAGTTGTCAACTAAATAAAGAGGTAGATTACTAATAGCAACTCTTCAAAAAACTAAAATCACCTGTCAACATATAACTACATAAAAGTCTCTCACCTCCCCTATACGGTTTAGCTTACCAAGTACACTAATTTAGCTCACCATACACCCTCATTTACACAGAGGACTCGACATCTTAATCATAAAAAAATAATAGAATAAAAAAAGAGAGTAAGTGATTAGAGAGTTATTTAGTTTGTTACTTTAGTTCAATGGAAGTTCCCCCCTTTAGGCTCTCTCCCTGTCTTAAGCTATCTTTCTTTCTCTCTTTGTTATTCGATTGTCATGGGCTCCTGAATTAGGGTGATTCTTTCTCCTCCTCTCTTGCTTTTAGCAATAGGAGCCACCCATGCTTTTACCCTTTCTGATTCTGTATTTTCCTCCGCCTTTGTTGATTAACCTTTCTTTTTTATGACCTTTCGTTTTTATATGGTTTATTTCTCCCCATTTAGAGTTAGAAAAGCGATTAGTCATCCACATCAGCAACCTCCTATTAGGCTGTCATTAATCAATATGGCATGTTGATTGGGATTAGAATTTGTTGCAAGAATTGTTACAACAAATGTTTCAGCAAATGACACCCAAATCAGATTGCTCCCTGTTGCAGCATTATGATTAAATTTACAATTAGAATGCGTTCATGCAGTTTGATCGCTTTTTCATATTAAACCATAATGAACTATTTTGTGGTATGCATATGTTTTTATCCATTTTAGTATTTTAATGGAATCCTTATATCATTTTAGGATTATATTATTTTTTATCCAATGAGGTTCAGCTCCCTAATTCTCCTCACCTTGATCAAACTTGGACTCTAAACCTCCCAAGCAATCCTAAAGTTCCTAAAGCGATTCTCATCATAATCACTAATCCATCTAGGGTTCGTAAATAGTTCTTTTATATGCAACAAACCAAGTGAGATTTTATGCATAGTTCATCCAATCTATCATGTCACGATCTTTTGAAGAGTTTTAGAGTGGACTAGCTTTTATGCTTTCTTACTTGGCAGGCTAATTACATTGCTTAGGAACTGAATCCATGTATCTAAGGGTTGTGACCACTGAAAGGTAGCTAGCCACCACTCCATAAAGTTATATTTAATTTTGGGAGGGTTCTCATGTGCTCGCCAATTCACTAATTTTACTTGTTTAGAAATCAAAGTTTTGATGGTTGAGTTGGTTTAAGGTGCCAAATTGAGATTTTGGTCCCAAAGGCGTGGGTTCAAATCCCATGTGGTATCAAGATGAGATTATATTTTTTTATTTTAAGATTTTTTTTTTAATCGCATGATGTTTAATATTCTGTTCACTAATCCATTTTCAGGTTTGTAAATAATTCTTTTTCACCAACAAACCCAATGAGAGTTCATGTATAGTTTACCTAATGTTTAATATTCTGTTCACTAATCCATTTCAGGTTCGTAAATAATTCTTTTTCACCAACAAACCCAATGAGAGTTCATGTATAGTTTACCTAATCTGAGTTATAGTGTGAACTAACTTTTCTGTTTCAGCTTATTTCATTAGCTAGCCTACCTTCTTTAGGAGTAAATTATCACTATCCATGTTTCTGAGAAGTGTGACCTCGTCATTGTTGAATATGATATCGTGAATCTTTAACATCATCTATAAAAGTGTAATACCCGAATTTTTAGATAAATAAATAAAAAAAATAAAATAACAACATAGGGGCAAAAGGGTCATTTTGCCTTTACTCTTACTCGAGGGGTCTAGTTGTTTGGGATCTAAGAAGAAAGAGAAAGAAAAGAAAAAAAGAAAGAGAGAGAGAGAAAGGAGAAAGGGAAGAAGGTAGGGGGTTGGGAGAGAGGAAGAGCAGAGATGGCAAACCGCCATTGGAGATCAAATCCAAGGCAAGAAATTTCGAAGCAATACTTCTCTCGGTGCTGGAAAAGGAGTTTGGGTGGTGGATCCACTCATTCCGGCAAGAAAATCCGAGAACGGACAAGTAAGGTTCCGAACTTCTTGTTTCGATTTTATTTAGTTCTGAGGAGTTTCTTGAGCGTTAGATCTGGAGTTTTTGAGGTATGTAACTAAAATAAGATTCACACAGGTTTCTTGAAGTTTCTGGACGAAAATTGGAGTTTAGTCGGACTTCTGATAAACCGATCGAAAATATAAAATGTGAGTTTTTCCGTATCTTTGGACAGTCTTAACTCATCATGTGCTCAAGGAAAAAATAAAGGAAAAATATATTGTAGAAGTAGAATATGAAATCTACGATGTGTAGAAACTTTGTTGATATGGATTACAGATTGAAAGATACGAAAATCCGAAGAAAACAGATCGAAAATGCTAACATCTGGAAATTGAAACACACGCAGGAGAGAAGCATCGGCCTGTGTACGGTGGAGAGATGCGGAACCGTGATCGACACGTGACAAACTGCGGCTAGAGAGGCGTGTCCCACAGGCTAAGCGATTACGCGTCAGGGTGCAGATTCGGGTCAATCCGAGTTCGATCCGGCGCTCCGCACGCGAACAGAACCGTTGCGAGGCCGCTCCGACCTGTTTGAACCGACCCATCTCGACCCGAGACTATACAAAATGAAGCGCGTGGGTACGCGCGCGTAGTACACCCTCCAGAGTGAGTCAGTCGCGCGTGTAGGCGCGTGAGTGACCTTTTTCCCTCTGTTTGCTTGTTTTTCGCCCCGATTTCAACTTTGATCCTATTTTTATGTGAATTAAGACCTTTCAAGGAAATTCCAGAATTTTAGAAACCTTTTCTGCCAAATAATTCAAGATTGGGAAGACACGTGTCAACCATGTAAGTAGCCATTTGGATTCCCATGAGCAGTACTTGTAGGAACCGCTAGGAACAAGCATGCATGCTACCACCCATAAACTTAGCTAGTTGGACCTAGCATATTAGTATGGAAATTGTGAAAATGAAATGATTAAAGAAAGCTAGATATGAATTGTTTATTAAATCTGTTTTGATCGAGATTCTGATAAAGTATGCATGCATGAGGAGGATAGGAAACTTGTGAAATCTGCGCTCCGGGCAAAGATGGACGTTATCTTCTCGTTGAGCATGTTTGTTAATATTGCATGAACTGCTGCGTGTTAACTTCTATGCATGATGATTGCTTGTGTTATCTTTCTTGATGAACAAGAAAAAATTATGAGCTTAGATTAGGGTGCTTGTGACTAAGTAGGCTAAATGAGATCCTAGATTGGGGGACCTCTAGAATACCGTGCATTTAGACCCACGAAACTATTACCGATGGATTCAGAGCCCAAAATTTGAAACCTGATAGGTTTGTGAGACCTTGCAAGAGAATCCTAGAAATGCATGAATCCAAGTCTAAGCCACCAAGTTCCACCCTAGAAAAAATAGTAGGTCACCACGGTAACTGTAGGTAGCCCACTAGAGTTGAGCAGTGTGGATAGTGTCATCAGAACCTCCACTTCCCTCTCTACTCCGATACCGTACCGTCGAGACAGAGCTCCAGTACGAAGATCGTTCAGCTTGGCAAATCCGGATAGGGAAGTGTGACAGATGCCTAGACCTAGTGGTGATAGCTAAGGGGTCTTCTGAACAGGACTCCTAGGCCGAAGAAACCCGTCCCTGAGCAGGGGACGTGGAGCCACATAGGATGACTCAGTAGCTGACCGACACACAGGGGGTCGCACCCTGTTTAGTGGATGTATGGTCCCGTGTGAGGGTTGTCAGCTAACCTTCACGGATGATGTTAAGAGAGAGTCACATATTCAGATCCAGCCATACGATCCCCTCAGATTTACTTATGATGTCGCACCTCACCTTAGGACACTGATCATTTCACTGCATAAGATGGGCAAACCTCCTAAGATACAAAAAAGAGAGTTGTAGCGTGATCCGCACTCACTAGAACCCAGAGATAAGACCGTGTATACCTACTAAGATAAGAATGCGAAAAGAGCCTACAAGTAGGTTGCTTACTGAGTATATTTTTATATTCACCCCTTTCTTCCCTTTTTTTTTTCCAGTTACTAGTTGATACGGGGAGGTGTTTAAGAGCTGCACTATCACAGAGGGGTGTCGTTCCGGAGCGTCAGTCCCTTGTCGGTCTTTTAGAGTCCTTCGTCCGTTTTCATATTTAGAGTCTTTTGTATTTCATTTTATATTTGTAATTTCCTTTTGTAATAATTTAAAACAAATCTTTTCTCTATTTTGTTTTAATTAAATGGTATTTTTATCTTTTACTTTTCTTTTCTTTTTGTTTGTTTTCGATTTTGTGTTTTTAGTCACGATTCGTTTAATTTTTCGAAGCTTCAAAAGTCGGGTCGTGACAGAAAGGTTAGCTAATCCACTCCACAAGACCATAAAGTTATATTGAATTTGGGGAGGGACCTCATATACTAGCCAACTACGTAATTCTACCTTTTTGGTCTCTCGTCTCACTCAAGACAAGTTTATGGAACAAAGCACTATTCACATGCCCATGAAAATTTTTGAAATTATAATGACACTAAATGGAATAAACCTTGATACTATATGATAAATCTAGGTCAAACTCAATGGTACTTTATCATGGGTCTACCAATCAAGGTGGGGGCATTATTAGGTCTTAATCTAAGTCCTTAATATCACTAATAACGTACTATAGGCAATAAAAAACTAGTCTTGACTCTTTTGATGATGTTCACGATAAAAAATTAGCATCCTAAGCTATCTCAAGGTCTCTTGAACGCTATGTTGTAAACGAAAGACTTAAAAGGCATTTTGATCCTTTATGCTTAAATTCCTATTTCCATGACTTTTTAGACTAACTTTTGGGATTAATCATAATTTGGGAGCACTAAAGTTAAGTTTTTTTTTATCATATTAAATGATCCATGGGTGCTCGATTTACTAGAAACGTCCTTACGAATAATCATGAAATCCTTATAGCTCATGTGCCCTAATCTTTTCATAGTTCTCGCTCATGCTAGTATAAAGATTAAAACCTATAAATCACACAATTTTTAGTTTATTGATTCATATATGAGTTTCTAGCATAACAAAAATCTTCTGATATAGCTTAGAGCACTTATGATATGGAATCAGCCCAAGGGAAAGCTCTAATACCAAACGATATGGAACCACTACAAGAGGAGTAAGATTCAGATTACCTTGTTGATCAAACAAGTGTTCTTACCTTGAGATTCGAATCACTCCACAAACAAGATTGATCATATCAAGCTTGAAAACGTAAACTACATATAATTGCAAAGAAACTTAGTTATTGGCTAAAGAAAAGTCTGTCTTATAAAGGTAATATACATAACTTTATGTAGCCTCAATTGTTCCCTTTAAAATTTAATCATTCTCTTTAAAATTTATCAATGTGTCATGCAACTTTTAAAAACATTACTATCCACTGTTAAAAAACATTAACAAGATATTTTTCTCTTGATTGATACATGAATTTGTGTTCCAATACTCAAATGCTATAAAAAGCTTTTCTAAAAATTTCCTTTTAACTTTTTATAGCATATTTAAAAAAAAAATGCAGTATTCAAACGCTATAAAAACACATTTTTCTTGTAGTGTTAGTAAGAGCGCTGTTGTATTATTTCTTGATTTGGAAAGCATAGGAAGAACGGATGAAGTTGAATGAACCTAAACTCATCTTCTTCTTCTTGTTTTTCATTATCTTCATATTGTCCTCGGACAACACTAGGCGCTGCTCATCTGCTGAATCCGGCCATGCTCATATCCAGGTAAATTTATTTTAGTTCCAATACTATAATGTCTTGTTCATCACCTTCCTCATATATTTTCTTACAAATACCTATTTTATTTTTGTACCCAAATCGAGTGTTCTAACTAAAAAAAAATCTAATGCATTATGCTATGCCAGCCCATCGCTAATCATGAAGATCAGGAGTTGACCTTACCAAGAAGAGGATTGGGTGGGCCGGGATCATCGCCGCCAAACGGCGCCTCAAAGTGTGGGAGTTGCATGCCCTGCACTACGGTTCTTGTGTCGGTGCCGCCCGGGCCTCCAGGCGTTGGAGATGATTTACCCGAAGTCTGGAGATGCAAATGTGGAAACAAGCTCTACATGCCCTGATCGGAAGGCATGCCCCCCGGGCATGTATGCTCTTATATGTTACTCATCTGCCGATGAGTCGAAGTAGACGGAGTGGGTCTGTTTCATTCATACCCCTGTCATAAATCATGTATAGGTGAGATTATTACGTAAACAAAAAGCACAATGATTATATACTCATATTTTATTATATATCTAAGTACAGATCATTTACTAACCACTCGATTCCGACCAAAAATCTATAATTACTCATGAAAAAGTTTTTTATTGTTTTTAGATAGACAAAACATAATGTGATTGAGACGATAACGTGGAATTGTAGACTTAGAATCTTACCTAGATTCGAATTTAAAATAATATATTTTATGGATTTAAAATAATATAAAATATGAAATGTTTTTATAAGATATAATATGATAATAACATCCGTGATTTGAGCTCTCCATGAATGTTATATTCTATAGTGTCTTTTATCATATTCTATATTGAATTTATACCAAAAGTGCTAATGCTTGAGTGCATGTTAATGTGTATATTTTAATGCATGATATATATTTACCATAATGTATGTCGAGCTTTATGGAAAAAGTATTAATATTTGTATTGTACATATTTAAGTACACATTGTTCTGTACATTATACCCGGTAGTATATAATTTATTATTATAATATATGTGCAAATAAGATCACAAAATGAGGAGTAAAATACATCATAGAAAAAATAAATGAATTAAACATTAAAAAAGAAACCAAAAAGGAGTAAAATTGACTTAGAATCATGTTGGATATTTATTTGGTAGAATGCTAGTTACCACTCAAGAATTAGGGATCAAGATCCTCAAACTTAGAAACTCAAGCAACTCCTAAATCTCTTACGTTACAACATGTTCATGATTCAGACGACGCTTTGTAAGAAGTTTTGGATGTAGATTTTCAAGTATTAAAACTACGTCACTTGATTTCAGGTATTGAAACTATGTCGCTTGGAACGTATGAAGACTTGGGCATAGATATTCAGACTATATCACAAGGAACACATGAAGTCTTGGGTGTAGGATCCGACTACATCACTTGAAATGTAACAAGCCTTGGATGTAGATTTTCTGACTACAATTCTTTGGTTTATATGAAACCTTGGATGTAAGATTAGACTACATCGTTTGGAACGTAAGAAGTCTTGGATGTAGGTTTTCAAACTACGCTACTTGGAACGTAAGAAGCCTTAAGTGTAGGTATTCAAACTATGCTGCTTGGAACTCATGAAGCCTTGGATAAAGGTTTTTAGATCGCGTCGCACATTAAGTTCTGGATGCGAATTCAGACTATGTCGCTTGGAATGCATGAAGCCTTGGACGTAGGTACACACTGTGTTGCTTGAAACATATGAAGCCTTGGATACGCGGATTCAGACTATGTCGCTTGGAATGCATGAAGCCTTGGATGTAGGGTACATAATGTGCTGCTTGAAACGTATGAAGCCTTGGATACAGTTTGTCAGGTTCATGATTTGTACCGTAAATCTTAG